GATTAATGAACTTCGTATGAAAATTATCATAAATTTGTCAAATATTTCCACTTTTTCTACTCATTCGTACGAATCATATCTGTAATGATATTCAATGAGTGAAGATATTATTTTTTGAAGTGAATTTGCTATGATATGAAAAACTCATTAATGTGATTAACTTTTTTGGTTTTTTGAGTTTAAAATTTTTTATTTATATTAATAATTAGGTTTGAGTATTTGGTTTCCAAATTAATTCATTGAAATAATTGGTGGTAATGTCTTCAGACATCAGATCCTCTTTTAATTGAATTTTATTCATTCATAAAAAATTTAAAAATTATTTATTTTTATATATATTCAAGCCTTCAATTAAATTTTATGTGATATTTGATAACTTTTTCTAAATCTCTTGTCTGACATATAAATAGGAATTTATTTGAATAAATGAATGCAAAACTTTAATATATTTTTTGGTTTTATTTACTCAATATATCCATTAAATTTTTGTAATTAATTTTTATTTATTTTTAAAAATCAATTTTTTAGAGGAATTAATAGCAAATAATTTTTATTTATGAGGGTACACTCATATAAATGGTAATTTATACGTGATATGGCAGTCATCTATCAAATTAAATATTATTTATAAATAAAACAATCATTTAATTGTCAAGATTTGTAATGTTTAATCAATAGTTATTGGCGTTTTATATCAAAATCGATTAATAGCATTATTTGTTTGCAATATAATCAGTAGATTATGTCCATAATTGCCATACAAATGAGCAAACCGTGGATTACTATCTAATAGTTTATACTATTGACTCTATAGTAAAATGATTGCATGAACTCAAACTGATGGCAAAGTTTTTCAATTATCTGTACGAAATAAGAGACAGTGAACTGAATCACAAATCAATGGACAGTCGACTTTCCACAACATGTCACTTAACAACTGTGTTGATGACAACAGCATCAGTCAGGGATCAGTTGTGAATCCTTTTTCTGGTGATGATATTTGAGATGATTGTCGACAACTAATTAGTGCTCAGAAAACAGTTTTGTGGTAAACATTGGCACACGTTATACATGAGACTAAGCACTCGCGTATTGGGGACAGTTGTGGCGAGACATCCAATATGCTGGACATTAAGATGCTATATATCTGGTGTTAAGTCATAACTGGCAATTTAAAGTAATCCAGGTGCCATAAAGATGTTATTCACATCCATGTCTTACAAATACTGTATTCCCCTTCCGGTCCAGACATACGGAATATCGCAACTAAGTTGCCGTCAATAGCCTATCAATTGAGTCAAGAATTTATGACTGACTCCAGAGTTTTTGACATTTTCTCTCCCCCTCCCTATCGTTCCCCTCCTAATCAATGATTGCCTTCATATGAAATAGAGATGTGTTTAATATAACTCATAATTAGTGTAATAATTAATACATGTTTTATGTAATTTGTAAGTTTGTGGTTTCATATTTCAATCGTACACTTTATGTGAAATGACCGATAATTATGTGTGTATATAAAAAATGCATTAACATAAATATTTTTAAACATTTCAATCAACGATTTTATATAAAGTTTATGATCTTATAAAAGTTTTGACAACTGATTTAATCAAGAGTTTCGAAAATCTTTACATAAGAATTTTGAAAACTTTGTTAACACAAGAACTTTCAAAAAACTTCTTACATAAGAGTTTTAAACACTTTTTTGCATACAAATTCAGACAACTTTTACACAAACTTTTCACTTAAGAAGTTTTAAGTTATAAAACTTTTAACAGCTTTTATGCTAGACTTATACAATAATTTCGAAAACCTTTTTTTGTTGGGACTAACTATGCTTTATATGTTTAACACTGACTGTCACTCACTCTGTAGTTAACGAATTGAAAGTTTTTTCCACTGAATAATATTCTCTATGCATAAAACACTACAGAATATCGTTGTATACCTTTTTAAAGGTCTACTCATATGGGACTCAAACATACCATTACGCTATGAATTGTTTTCGTAATACACTGTCACTCGCATTCAAGCCAATAGTTTGCATGCATTTGATTCACTCACTGAAAGAGTTTTGAAAAACTAACGAAAAATCTATTTTTATAACCATTTATTTGATACACTTTTAGGCATTCATTCAATTATTTTTCGTAAATAAACGCCTTTTTGTTGAAAAAGCATTTCATAATTCACTCCCAATTGGCCTACAATTAAGGCCTTAAAACACACGTGCTTTCAGTGAACACAACCCGTGATTAGTTCATTAAGTTTGTCGTCAAAGTCTTCAGTAATTGTTATCATCGATGGAGACACCGATTGGTGCTAATGGTGTGGATACGGCTAGTGGTGGCGTTGACGAGGATATGGACGACTTGGCGGCGGATCAGTTGGTGAAGAAGTTGATTGAGAGGAAGGACTCGCAATGCGATCAACTCATGTCTGAATGCAGCGATAGAGCCAAACAGATCCGCGATAAGATCAATGAGATGCTGGACACGAGACACGCGATGGTGGCTAACGCTGAGGATGGTGTCGATGGTAATCGGGACAACACTTCGCGCATTGATACCAATAGTATATTGAAGTTACAGAAGGAGTTGGAGCTCGAGATCTCTGGTCTGAATAAGACGTCCAAAGTTTGTGCCAATGAAGACAATGCCACGAATTGTCTCGTTTTGTCCAATAATAAGAGTATTAATATACCTAATGATAAGAGTATTAAATCTGATGATAGTATGGATGGGAATGTGGGTCAAAGTGTTGATACAAATGATGTCCCGGCAGCTGATATCAAATCTTCACCGCCGCCCACAACTTGTACGGCAAATGAGAGCAAAGCAAACATAAAGTCTTCAGAAAAGTCCTCCAATGTGGCCAAAAGTGAGGCCAATGTCAACAACAAGAGTAACGCAAACACTGCTAGTCGTAAACCCGTGAAGAATGCCACCAAAAGTCGTATAACTCCGGAACAGTTGACCAAAAAGTTGTCGACATTCAGCACAGATGCCGAACGGATCTCGTATTTGAGCCAAAATCTGGTCGAAGTGTGCGAAGAGAACCGCTCTCTTTGTCAACAGTCGAAGCAAAACGAGAAGACAACGAATCAGTTGACGCGAGAGAGGGATCAGATTCAGAGCGAACAGAACCGCTTAGTTCTGGCCAAAGCGCGGCTCGAGAGCCTGTGTCGCGAACTTCAGCGACAGAATCGGCTCATCAAAGACGAGAGCCTTCTGAAGATCAAAGAGGAGGAGGAGAAGCGGAGGGATATCGCCAACAAATTCCAGTCGACCCTCAATGAGATCATGTCTTTGATTGGCGACAACCAGAAGCGGAACACTCAGCTGAAGGAGGAGAACGCAGACTTGGCTCATAAACTGAAGACATTGATGGGTCACTACGAGACCTGGGAGACACACACCCAGAAGATCATCAAACAAAAGGATTTGGAGACACAGCTCATGAAAGCGAAGTTCACGAAAACGGATCTAATTCTGAATCAAGAGAAGCAGATATTCATCAAAGAGAAGCAACAGTTGATCCAAATGATCACCGATTTGCAGAAGAGGTGCGCAGATATGTCTCAAAGCGAAGTCAAACTGCGGACAGAACTCGGAGTTTATACCAATAAATACGAAGAGTTTCAGTCAGTGTTGTCCAAAAGTAATGAAATGTTTTCTGGGTTTAAGAAAGATATGGAAAGAATGTCCAAACAGATCAAGAAATTGGAAAAAGAGACCATACTCTGGAAGAATAGATGGGAGACTAGCAATACGGCACTACTTAAGCTGTCCGACGAGGTATGCCCTCTTTGCCTATTGGTTTATTCATTCAATCAAATGTCTGATCACTGAATCTAATCCACAGAAAGAAAAGCGAGACACCGAGCACTTGAAGGCCTTACAAAAGATCATCACTTTGGAGAAGTTGTGTCGAGCCATGCAGGAGGAGAGGGCTATTCTCCACGAACGACTCCTGCAGGCGGACAACGAGCTCGACGACAACAGCGAACCCGATGGCCAGACATCTAACACTGAGATCGCATTACAGCCGCAGACAGAAACAGATGACACTAAACCTCAAGTCAACGAAACCGCCGAATAATGAGTAGAGAATCTCAAGAACTAAACGACTAATTGTTTGCTTAGATTTCGACTTTTATTGTCAACCATTCGCTCAAACCTTAGTTCTTGGACTAGACGTGCTTTACCCGTGATTCGGGCCATACATAGCCTACAAATTCACATAACGCTTAGCCAATGATACCTAAATCGAGTCCATTGTCGAGTGCCTTAACCTTAACATCGGATCTAACTTTGATTACCACTTAATTTAAGTTCAAATAAAAACCAAACACTTATTTCCAAAAAACAAATTTATTTTCCATTTTTATGGGCTTTAATCAATACATTATTGTCTATACTCTTGGATCTAATGGGTCTGTTTATACGCCAATCGTTTGTCGCGTTCTTCGGCGACAGTCAATCGGACACCTCTTCCCTTCGGCAGCGAAATGAAAGGTTTGGTTCCCTTTCCGATCACGAAGATGTAGGCCAACCTATGCGCACAAATACAACACGTTATACATTGTCCACAAAATACCACAAAACAGATTTTAAAAATCCTCATCAGAAAGACTAATCAAAGATCATGGTTTAAATCAAAAATTAAAACAAAGTCATCAGAAAACACAGGTCTAAAGTGGAAGCCTAAGGGGAACGGTATGCGGTACCTGGTGGCGAACGTGTGCCCCTGGGAGTCCTTCACGTGCACGATATCGAAACTTCCCGGATGTCTCTCCCGACTCGTGATGATGCCAACTCTGCCCAAATTGTGTCCACCGGTAACCATACATAGGTTTCCCGTCTCGAACTTAATGAAGTCTAAGATCTTTCCGGTGGCGATGTCCAGACGGATCGAGTCGTGCACTTTGATCAACGGGTCCGGGTATCGGATGGTGCGGCCATCGTGTGTCACAATGAAGGGAATGCCTTTGGGTCCGGTCGACACCTTCTTCACGCGACACAACTTATACTGAACGGCAATACAGAGAAAAACTCATTAGAAATCTGTTGGCAACTCATCCATCAAGTGGTCAAACCTTCGCCTCTTCGCCGGTGATCTTATGCAGAGAGAAGCGACCCTTAATGTCGTACAGGAGTCGGAAGAAGTCGCCGGTCTTCTCAATGGTCACCACATCTATAGAGAGATAATTGGATTAATTGAATGTGAAATCTTTGGGTAATGCTTAAGACGTAATGAGTGGTCAGTAATAAGCGACCGAAGACTTAGTTGGCGTTACTTTAGGCCTCAAATTGAACACAAATATTGATTGCAAATACATATCCGTGTCTTCGATGGAAGGCCTCGACTACAAGACTAGTGATCACACAATGAATGGCATCGACAGACTCACCCATGAAACCGGACGGGTAGTTGATGTCAGTGCGGACCCGACCGTCCACTTTGATGGTTCTCTGCATCACGATTTTGTTCACCTCTGTGCGCGTCAACGCGTATTTCAAGCGGTTCCTCAACATCACCACCAGTGGCAGCGACTCCCGGAGCTTATGGGGACCGGTCGAGGGTCGGGGCGCGAACACACCCGACAACTTGTCTAACATCCAACTCTTGGGCGCATTCAAGCGCTTCANATCACGATTTTGTTCACCTCTGTGCGCGTCAACGCGTACTTCAAACGGTTCCTCAACATCACCACCAGTGGCAGCGACTCCCGGAGCTTATGGGGACCGGTCGAGGGTCGGGGCGCGAACACACCCGACAACTTGTCTAACATCCAACTCTTGGGCGCATTCAAGCGCTTCAGATGCTTCTTCGGACCGCGAGCCTGGCGTAGACATCAGGAGAGACAATGCAAAGACATTAGTTCCCAACAAACAAGTGACACAACACTCGCGCGGATCTCCCAATCAATCAAATGAGGCCGTCATCCGCGGCAGTCGCTCGCCGGCCATCGGTGGTGAGGGTCTGCCGGGGCGACCGATCGCCGAAGACCTCGATTTAATTGATTAGATCCGCGACGAGACACAAGACATACCATGATTTAATGTGTAGACAAAGCGGAAAGGGATGTGAAATGAGAGGTAAGGCATGAACTCAGGGCTGACGCATGCGCTGCGAGTCGCGCGTCAATTACGGCTTTGTTTTGATTTCGCGAAACGACTCGTCTTTTTGAAAAACGTTTCCAAAAACATGTCTTCGGTTTTGAAACTCTCTTCGCTGTTGAGGTTTACGTCAATTAATGGTAACTATTGTCGACATTTGGCGACCGCCACCGGCCATTGGGTGAGTGATAGTCGCCGACCACCGGATGTCTGATTGTCTCCTCTTTTTAGGCGAAGACGCGGCGAACCCTTTGGCCGAAAGACAACGCTTTACAGCATTTCGACAACTTTTACGCCAAAGTTTACGGCACTTCTTGGAAGTCCATCCGTTTGGGTCTCCTGTCAACCAATAAATACTGCGCTGTCGTCAACGTATTCGCCGACTACGAGGACATCGAGATCCAGATGAGACAATTGGGTGCCATAGACCTCAGGCAGTACTACGAGAGGCACCACAAGAGATATCAACGACTGAAGCGACGAATGGATATATTGGCCGAAAAGAAGGCCAAACGTATCGCACAGATAGCCCACGAGACTGGAGTGGATGTCTCACAGATTGATCCAAACAGTGTCGAAGTGAGTGATGTCAGCGACAGAGACCTCGGCAGCGGCTTCTCGTCGATGACCGAAGCGGAGGACGTTCTGGAGATGTTGTCGCAGAAGGAGGACACGGATGACCGGTTCATAAACGCAGCCAAAGTGGACGTGGATTTGAATGACTTCGTGCCCATCGATGAACTCAAATACAAGGAGGAGATTATCAACGAAACGCCGTATTATGAGTTCTACCAGAAAGAAGTGGACATTCCTGTGGAACACGTCGAAGAACCCAAACTGAATATACCGGAGATCCTCAAGATATACACCTATCCGCGCGGAGATATGTCTAACTTCCCGGCGCCTAAACGTCAGACAAAGCTCGGAGTGTTTGACTACTATCTGATGGACGGCGCGTCCGTTTTGCCGGTCCTGGCGCTCGACATACAGGCCAACGATAAAGTGGCCGATTATTGCGCGGCGCCGGGCGGTAAGGCTCTGCTCATGGCGTTGACATTACGGCCGTCGCAACTCGTGTGCAACGATAAGTCGCTGTCGAGGAATTCGCGGCTGAAGAACGTGTTCAGCGCTTACATCCCAGACGTGGATAGCGTTCAGAAAACTCTTGACTTCACTGTTGAAGACGCGAAGACAATGATTAGACCCGACGCTTACGACAAGATCCTAATCGACGCCATCTGTACCAACGATAGGCTATCTGTCATCGAGAACGACAACAATTGGTTCAAACCGTCGAGACTTTCCGAAAGAGTACGACTGCCCGAAGAACAGCTCCAACTGCTGTACGCCGGCCTCATGTCTGTGCGGAAGGGCGGGGCTGTCGTGTACTCTACTTGTAGTCTATCTCCCATTCAAAACGATGGTGTCGTTCATATGGCACTCAAACGCATTTGGGAGGAAACCAATCACGTGTTTGTCGTGTCCGACCTCAAGGAGGCGTTCAGGCCGTTGAGAGGTCTCTACAAAATGTACAATCATTTCAATTACGGCATACAAGTGCTGCCATACATGCCGTCCAACTGCGGACCTCTCTATGTCTCCAAATTAAAACGGATTCAATGAGTGACCGGTGAAGTCGTGAACAGAAATACTTGTCATTACTTTGTATGCGTTTTAATGCAAAACATAATTGAAAACTAATTTTTACATAAAATGTTTGGTCGACTCTGCGGTCACTTCTTATCGATATCGATGTCTTTCTTGACATTAACGGCGTATCCGTCGTACGGGTCGTCCGCGTAGTTCTCGACCGTCAAGAGTCGAAACCTCCGGAGTTTCGTCTGAATCCGATCTTTGGACGACATTTTGTCTTCGATCTTCTTGACCACCACTCGCGACACGTCCAACAGTTCCCCATTATCGGCGTTGAAGCCACGGATCAGATCTATTTCGTCCCTTTCGTTCAGTTCGACCGACTTCTTCGCCACTCGGAAACCGTTGACACGAATGAGTCCCGCATAGAAGGCGTCGTCCACTTTATTTCGGGCCATATTTAGGCCCCCTTTCAGCACATTATCCAATCGGAGGGATATTATAGACGCGTTTATGTCGAGGAAATCAATCGCTTTGCCATCGATTAGGTCGGCGTCGAACTCGTCCACGGGTTCTCCTTCGGCGTCCGACTCCTCATCGCTGGACTCCTCATCTTTGGCCGCCTTTTTCGAGCCCTTCTTCCATTTCTTGAACCTCTTCTGCTGAACAGATGTGTCGCGCAATGGATTGGCTAATAGTTTGGCGAACTCTTGGGACGTAGTGATGGACCTCCTCAGCAGTGTTTGCCATTCATTATTGAGACACAGATTTTGAGACAAGAGTTTGCCATTAGATGTATTCAAATGTCTAACTGTTGTGTTGATGCAAACGATTGATGTCTTCAGCGAATTGAATGTCAAGTATTGGGCGCTAAGTCTGCGGAGGAATAGACCATTCATTTCGGGATGAAATTAGTTTTGAAATTAAAAAGTTTTAATTCAATAACAAAAACATGTGAAGGAAAAAGTGATGAAAGCTATTGGGGGTCAATTCATAGACAACATGATAGCGTGTATAATCGAGGGCACTATGAATGCAATGAGTATTTATGTGTATAAAAAGTTATGGGGATCCGTAAAACTATTATTTTTATCACATGTTTTGTGAATGGGATGTATGACTAATATTGTTGCCATAAGACGTCATGCAATTGAAATCCCAACTGAAATGAGTTCATAACAAACGTTACTGTTTGGTAGTGTTGGGGGGCTTTTACTTTGTGCCCACTTTAGTGCTAAACCAATGCATTCAACAACTTTTCAAGTCTTGTTTGTTTCAATAGTTTTTGGACATAATTTATGGTGAATGGTATTGTCAGTTGATCTGCAATTGCAGTGAAAACAAGAAATACTTTGTCAACAAAAGTGAGTCAAACAAAGCAGTCGTTTGCAGACACCTAAAGACATTTGAGTGACAATCGGATCCACTGATTGTCTGCGTCAGCGTAACTTATAGTCCATTTTGTATGTCATTGACCACCGAGTGGTGACCCAATCGCAGCGATGGTGAGCACAGGCGTGAACTACACGAAGCTGAAGACCAATCTCCGGCTTTGCATCAATCGATTGAAACTTCTGGAGAAGAAGAAGACAGAGTTGGCGCAGAAGTCGCGCAAAGAGATCGGCGAATACATCGTGACGTCGAAGTACGAGAGGGCGAAGATCCGCGTCGAGCACATCATACGCGAGGACTACATCGTGGAGGCCATGGAGTTGGTGGAGATGTACTGCGACCTCCTGTTGGCCCGCTTTGGGCTCATCCAGCAGATGAAGACGCTGGACGACGGCCTGTCCGAAGCCATATCGTCGCTCATTTGGGTGGCGCCCAGACTCCAGACCGATGTCCAGGAGTTGAAGATCATATCGGATCTGTTGACCTATAAGTACGGCAAACCCTACGCCCAGGCGTGCCGTGAGAACGCCCTCAAGACTGTCAACGAGAAGCTGATGATCAAAATGGGAGTCCAGGCGCCGCCCAAGATATTGGTCGAGAAGTACTTAATAGGTCTGTATTTGGTGTTTGTGTTGCCATTCAATTGATGGCTTAGTTTAATGACTCGTCTAATGGTCTTCGTGTTGGTCTTCCGCAGAGATCGCCAAAAGTCAGAACATATCGTACGAACCGGACGCGGATGTGCTCCGAGACGACGAGGTCTACTGCGCCGAAGAGGCCACCTCTGGATACCATCACAACCCCGACAAGTGTCTCATCGATTTGGGCAACTCTGCCGATCATCGCAATCATGGTTTCCCTCCGTCCGGTCCATCCGGTGGTGGCGGAGGTGGAGGAATGGGTGCATACGCTGGAGGACTGCCACCACTGCCTTCAGTGCCTCCCAGCGCTCCATACCCTGTGGCCCCCAATACCAAACCGATTGGATTCAACTTCAACACCAATACAGAGCCGTCGCACCCATCTATGCCATCGGGTCCTCCGCCTCATTACGACTCAGTCATGCCTTCAGCGGACGATAAGCCGATCGACTCGAAGCCTAAACCCGTTCCGCGCGGAGGAACTCCTAATTCCAAGCCTAACCCCAATCCAAACTTAAACGACTCGTTCCCGGAGTTGCCGTCAGTGCCGACGGGAGGTCTGCCCGACATTCCCACCGACGACCCCAAAGACGATGGCATCGATTTCGATGATCTGTCCAAACGGTTCGAGGACTTGAAGAAACGGAAGTAGTGTTTGGTTTTTATACTAATTTTTAAGTTTATTTTTAATCTTGAATTGTATTTAAAGTATTATAAAAGTTTTCGATGAAAAATAATTGATTAATATATTCATATAAATCAAATCAAATCTTAATTATAATTGAGTTTTCTTTTAATCAAATTTATAATAAAATATAAATTAATTTGTTATACAAACTAAGAGTTCATGTAATGAATGAGTAATAAAAAGCAATTAAAATGCAAAAACAATTTGTGTATTCAATTGTGAAATTAAATTGAATTCCAGTATACAGTAGATTATAAATATTAACGTATAATTTAAGTAGGAATAAATAAAAATACAGCAAAATATACTGTACTGTATATACGGTATTAAAATCATTGTAGAAAAATTGAGAATTTGGTAAAAATTATAGAAATATTCAAAACAATTAATTCAATTGATGGCAAAGTGTGTCTCATTTCATAGATTTGTTTGTCATTAAACTTTACAACAGGATCGTTTTCTCCATATGACATGACTGCAAAGAAAGTCAGTTTAGGACTACTTCTCATAATAAATGTCTTGTAATCCAATTCGTTGAATATGAGGTGCGCTTCTCGAGAAATGGACAGATACTGTAGTTTCCTGAGGTTTGTCTCAATTCCTGCCAAAAGTGTGTCGTTTAGTGCCCACAAGTTCAGCACTAAATAAGTCATTCGTTTGAAGCCATAGATTGCGTCAAACATATGACAATCAGTGACCACTTGGGCGTCGTATATCAACCCTAGAAATAATTCCAGTCGACGTAATTGTGGCATAAATTTCATGGCTTTCATGACATCGATATTCAGTTGTGATGTCTCCGACCGTATTTCCAGTGAAATTCGTCTCAATTGAGCTGTAAACGGTGGCTAAAACCGTTTTCTCACCATGTCTCTCTTCAGCTGCATTGGCTACTATAGCTTAAGCTCTTAGTTAAGGAACTCAACACAATTAGGTCACTAAACACTGTTGTAAAGTTACCACTTAAAGTTAGAGTCAATCCAATTGATGTTAAGACTTCTCAATGACTTGTTGTTTGCGATAAAAGTGGCGAACATTTCATTAGAGAAGTCTTCTCTTGGCGTGAAATTAATTGCCAGTAAATTGTGAACCAATAGTCGATTGTCTGCAGTGAAGACATCATTGAAATACAGAACCAACAGATCTCGCAAATTATGGCAATACTGGAGACAATCGTGATTTTCATTATTTTCATCGAACCTAATGCCCACTTTCACTAACTTTGAGCCAAACTTCTTAAAGAATTTATCCACAAATTCATCCAAAGTTTCCAAATGGCATTCAATTCTTGACAATCGTTGACAATAATCATCGGAAAGACCGTCCATGATCTCTAGTATTAGTGTCTGTTCTGATCTATCATTTGGTTGACAATCAATAGTCTGAATGCTTGGACACTTCTTGAGAATAACAATGAGTGCATCGATTGGAGAATTTGGTCCCATTTTGTGAATAAGTTTGCTGTTAATAATGAGTTCTTTGAGGGAGACGTAAAGACATCTTTGGAACTGCTTTGAGAGGCATTCGCGTCGGAAGTGCTCTTCAAATGGGAGATAAGACAACAAAACTTGACACAAATCATCCCCAAAGCGATCGAAAGAGTCTTTTGGGTAATCATTCGCAAATCTAGAAGAAGTGGTTGTCTGTGAGTCCACTTCAAAGTCATCCATATCTTCAGTGGTGTATTCAGTACTAATAGTGGTGTCCATCGGGTGTTCACATGAAATGAATGATCAATGAATTCAATCAACACTTTGATTTCATTCACAGAATTTCAAACTCAGTTATGTCTCGTGTCTATGCATTCATTCATATTCTTGTATTTCATTACATTATTACAGCATTAAGTGAACACTATTCACTCAATTTTCTATGTATTTTCTTATAGTTTAAAACCATTGAATAAACCAAATATAATAAAATACACAAAATCAAGAATAAAGAAAAACACAAATAAAAAGTTATGATTCAGTTTTAATGCCATAAGATTGAGTCAATAATTGTTTGCAAATATAAAATGAATGGACAGTAAATTGTGATTTGTTTTAATCAATTAGAAAATGTGATAACATTTATAATAACAGTTGCTTTCAATGGATGAATGTATCGCCGATTGAGTGGACGGGCGTGTAATGTATTGGCTCTTAAAATCTCATTTAATAAACTCGTTAATTAATGGTACGAAAAAACTTTAAGAAATATTCAATAATTAAGTCATTTATATAATATTAATAAAAAAATAATAATAATAACTATACAAACAAACAAATTCTTGTATTTAAATATAAATAAAACTCTTATGCTTTCAAATATCCCCTTTTCCTACGGCGCCGCTTCTGCCTATCCAATGGTGTCATGAATCGGGACGTCCTATATATACGTATAGGCGTGCGAA